GCCGTCGCCATGGACGGGCTGGGCAACGTCGCCCTCATGTACCTGAGCGCCAAGGCCTCGGGGTACCTCGCCCTGGTCGGGGAGTTCGTCTACAAGAAACTCCGGAGGAACGTGCGTCTCTGGGGCGACGTCGCGGACCGGTTCTCCTTCGACAGGACTTTGGTGCGCAGCTTCCAAGGGGGCGAGAGCGTCGTCTGCTGCGGCTGGGCAATTTGGCTGCACGTCTGCTGCCCCTCCGAGCGCAGCCTCGCCCTGCTCGTCGCTGTGCTGCTGTGCCAGGCTGCGGGGATGATTTACCTGAACTTCGTGGACAGGTTGCTGAAACAGCCCTTGAAGAATCCGGTGCGTGTTCTTATGATGGCGAAGGACAGATTAAAAGCAGCGGAGAAAAGTATCTGATAAGAAAACGCGTGTCTTCATCGTTGGTTCCTTGGTTGTGCAGTGTGCGCAGAGTGCTTAGATAACCACATTGTCAGTAAGATCGTAAAAGATACGTACAAAAAAAACAAACCTTTTTTACAATTTGTCTGAAAAATAGTTTCGTATTATCCAAGGAATATCGAGAAACCAACCATAGGGATGTAAATAAGCCCTGCAATCAGTATGGCAATGAAATGAACTCAAATCGTTTTACTTCATTATTGAATTAAGGACGCTACTAGTATTTCAGTTTCTCTTCTACTACACTTGCATCTTTTCCCGTAAGGCTCTTTTCTCCTCCATTTCACTTTCTTCTGAAATTGTTCCAATAGCTTATATTACGTACGTTTTAATTACGTTACTCCCATGTCTCATTTATGTATATATTAAAATGTCTTACCCTAAATGTGCAGCTGCAACAAGGAGTACAAGTGCTTGTAAAAAAAAAAATGAAATTCAGTGTTTGAAATTCTAAATGTATAAACATATAAAAATTGGGAGGAGACATTTTAGCAAAATATATGATTAAGAGAAATACCATAGATAAAAAAGAACCTGACATCTACTCCCAGGATTGAAAAGGTAGTGAAGCGTTTGACCAAATGCGAGAAGTGCCGAGCTTATCGTTGGACGAAAAACCTACAGCTCGTTCTATTTTTATCTACATTATGAATTGAACTGTGATATTTGTCGTTGTTAATGGTTAGACGATAGTCCCAATACCTATAAGTATTAGAAGGGTACATAACTACGTAGAAGGTAATGAAGAACCGTTGTACACACAGGTTTGAGGATAATTGTGTCAGTGACACCTGGAATAGGGCAATCGCCGGAATGACTGTGAATCCCACACATTATTGATGGTTTACGGACTATCGTTGTGTGGATAATTGTGTCAGTGACGCCTGGAATAGGGCAATCGCCCCAAACAACCCCGGAATGACTGTGAATCCCACACATTATTGATGGTTTAAGGAGTGGGTATTGTGAATAGGCTGATATACATATACATTTTTAACTTAACACAATGTTATTATTGTGAAATTTAAAAAAAACAACAATGTTAAACAAATATTGGTTTATTTATCACTGTGCTGACAAGCGCAAGGTGGCCCCAAACCCGAAAACTCAAACGCAGTAATAAGAAATGTGAAAAAATGGCCATTTTCGCGTTTTCCAACGTCCATAACTCGACTCTAAAACAATTACGTGACGCCCTTTGGTTTATTGGGACTCTAGCATGATATGAAGAAGTGTGTCAAGTGAAAACTTCAACCGGCTATGGTTTGGAAATTGGAGCGCCGACTTGTTTTGCAATAATTCAGACCAATGGTGAGGGGGTAGAAGGGGAGAGATCGAATTTGACCAAACTTAAAACTTCGAAATAGAAAATAAAAACATAACTACACGAATTTTTGTAATGTTTGCCTTGAAGACAATCCATCCGCGGGTGTAATAGGCTATCAAACTACTTTCTAAGTCTTAACGATCGTCGTAACAATCGTCGTAAAGTTACGACATTTTTGTCTCAGACCAATTTTTTTCAACGCGAAATTTGACTTTAAACACGGATTCTGAGCGAAAAAATAAGCTAATTTTTAAGAAAGAAAATCGTCTGAATTTTATCTTGCTATATAGCAAATTTGCTTTATCTTTCATAGACTCGCTGCGATACGACGATTCTCAAAATTCCGGTCTGACGGATATGTTTTATTTTGAGACTTCAAACTGCAGTTTGACTGCTCTTATCAAGTCACATCAAATGACGTCAAAAGGTTGACTTCATGAGTCATGACGTAAAAATGACCCAAAAACATTTGTAACAAAAAGATTCAAATTCGTTGACCAAAAACTAATTAGAAATTAGATGGCCTTCAAAGGTGGCCCTTTTGTTTTTGAAGTGACACCACCTTTGCATGCATGAGTAACGCCCGATATTTACAGTACTCACGGTTTTTCATTTTCCTTTTGATAGCTAATTATATACGTCGGAAATTGAAGTTTATAGCAGACCCATGGTGACTTAGTAGCTGCCGACACTGACTGACTTACTAACTGGCTACTGATATAGTGACTAATTGACTGACCGGCTGACTCATTCACTCACTCACTAGACTGACTACACTGGCTGCTGGCTGACTGACTGAATGACAGAACAGATTTAACCGTTTTACTGACTGATTGATTATCGGATTGTTTGGCTGATTGAACAGAAAGGATAACTGACTGCCTATCTTAGATTTATTCATTGTTTTAGACATATGACATTTATATACAGACTGACTAACTGACTGACTCAATGACTGAGTGACTTATTGTTACTGAGTTAGTAGCTTACTGTTCTCTGTATGATCAACTGACTGTCCAACAGACTGATGGACCGTGCAAAATTAGTCGAATCGAGTGGTAGGGATGATCCCTTACTGTAGGCCCCTGTCTCAGAGGCTAGTCCACAACACAAGCATAGCCAGAGTTCGTAATGACCGTTTTCTGCAAGTTTGTACGAAGTGCTAATAATAGGGGTATCATGCTCTCGGTAACAATTACTAGGAAACGTGTTGGAAAAGTAAGGGGGCTGCAGTCGGAACCACAAAGAATCCATTCCAAGTAGCTGCACCAGAATACTCAAAAGGGCAATAACGGTGAAGGGTAATAGTATGGGGGAGAGGGTCGACAATGAAGAAAACTGCAGTAGGAGTCGAGAATGTTGGGAGAGAGGAAGGGGTACATTCGGAAGGTTGGTAATGACCTGGGTGGGCAATTCGGGATTGAGTGGTCAGTAAACATTGAGGAGGGAATATTAGTATCAATGGTCTAACCCGTGGTAAAAGGAGACGCATGGGCAAGCTTCAATAAAGGTAAAAAATATCTTCGTTATTGGCCATGAGGAGCCCGAAATAAGGAAAATAAATGGGTTACCCTCAGGGTAAGGGCTAGGCGATTGCCAAAAGGAATACCATGCCCATATCTCCCGGGGGCCGTTCATGATTGACAAACCCCGCCTTTCATCCTATCAGTACAATCCTCACACTTTCCTAAGTAGACATGTGGGGATGAAGGCGAGAAGGAAAAGAGAAAGAAATTACTTGCGGGGAGGGCTGAGGTACAACGTAGGGGAGATCCCCAGCATTGGGCCCGCCTTCGTCGCCAAGAGCAAACAAGCGATTGGGAGAGGAAGGCTTCGAAATCTACTTTCACTGCTTGCATGATTTTCCAATTCCATTAGGAGCCTAATTTTCGTAAACTAGGGGCCAAGAGTAGCTTTCCTTTCCAGGCCTGAAGTTTTATACTTTGAAATATCCTGATTACTTCTGCTTTCAGTTCTCAGGAGGGAATTCACCCAATTGCGGAGAAACCATTGAATATATGCCAGAACCAGTGTTCTATTTTTTTTTTTTTTTCATGTGTATATGCATTTTCAAATGGAGAGGACCTCTGGTAACAGAACAAGGAACCAATGACTTTTCAGAGCCATTAATATTAAACGAAATGTACTTAGTTTCCATTTTCCAGAATTTCTTCAAATTTCAAGTAGCACACACGAGGTGAAAGAAAATCCATTCCTTCTCAAAATCTCATTTCATTTAGGGAAATAACAAATCTTCCCTTATAACAAAATTATCTACACATTCTCTTATCTACACTTTGTACAAACATTCAACATTTACACTAAGGTGAAGCACATATACCCTTCAATACATTCAAGATGAAGATGATTAAGATGAAATTAATGGACCACATTCTGGATGCCGAGGTACTTCTTTGGAATGGTTAACAATTCCTTTGACTTGTGCAAACTTCATGTTTTGCATGTCCCTTTCCTCATTGAGACTGTCCTTGGGTTACTTCAAATACACTGAAGATTTCCTCCCACATATTTCTTTTCTTGTAAACTAGACATAGTTCTGTGGCATCTATGTACTTTTTGTACCTCTTGTCGAAACAAAGTAACTTTGTACATAAAAAAATGTTAAGTTTACAAATTAAAGAGTTTCTTCCTAGCCTATCCATGAGAAGCTTTACATCATGCCGCCCATGCCTCCCATTCCGCCCATACCACCCATGCCTCCCATACCACCCATGCCGCCCATACCAGCCGGTTCTTCCTTGGGGATCTCTGTAATAACACTCTCGGCTGTGGTGAGGAGGGAAGCCACTCCTGCAGCATCGGTTAGGGCTGTGCGAACAACCTGTTGGCCAGTAGATTTGGAATTAATCATTTGAAGTAATTAATAGAGTTTTCTTTGCCAAATTTTAAAGCTCAGAATTGGATCTCAAAAGTAAATCATTGTTTATCACAATAGAAATGTTTCTTTCATCATGCAAATACATGAACAAACAGATGGGCATGGAGAGGGTTGTATGTAAATTTCATGGCCGTTCAATTAACTTACCTTGGTGGGATCAATGATTCCTGCTTCGACAAGGTTGACAAAGGTTCCTGTAGCAGCATCATATCCAACATCTCCAGACGCTTCCATGACCTTGTTGACAATAACTGATGCATTAACACCGGCATTGCTGGCAATGGTGTGGCATGGAGTCTGGATAGCCTTGCGGACAATTTCAATGCCAACCTTCTGGTCTTCATTGCTTGGAGTGATAGTATCCAAGGCAGGAAGGCAGCGAATCAAGGCAACTCCTCCACCTGGAACTATGCCCTCTTCAACCGCAGCTCTTGTTGCACACAAAGCATCATTTACACGATCCTTCTTCTCGTTCACCTCAACCTCCGAAGAACCTCCAACCTTCACCACTGCCACACCCGAGGCCAGGCGAGCCATACGCTCCTGCATTTTCTCCTTCTCATACTCGGAGGAACTATCGGCAATCTGGTCCTTGATTTGATCTACACGACGCTGGATATCACTAGAATTACCCTTGCCCTTCAGCAGAAGTGTATCATCCTTTGTGATCTGCACTTCTCCGACTTGGCCAAGGTCATGGACCTAAAAATAAAGAAATCAAGATGTAAACAATATAAAGTAAGTACCCAGACCCCTTAATGGAAATTCATTCCCTACTATTCTTGACCATTTCCCCCCCTTTTATAAATAAACCTTTTCCATACAACACATTTCTTAACATTATCTTACAATAAAAAATCATGTCCTGTCTAAAACCCTGAATAATGTTAAAATTTACCCCTACACATTTCTTACCTGAACATCCTCAATCTTCACCATGCTTGCTTCATCATTGAAGACAATAGCACCAGTTGCAATGGCAATGTCATGAAGAGTGTTCTTGCGGTTATCCCCAAAGCCTGGAGCTTTTACAGCAGCAACCTGGAGGCCAATCTTCAAACGGTTAACCACAAGTGTGCTCAAGGCTTCTCCATCAATGTCCTCAGCAATGATCAAAAGAGGCTTCCTGCAAATTGATACTTGGGTAAGTAACAAAACTTCCAAGAACATCAAGTAATATTTGTTAAAAGTTACTCATTCCATTGATCATAATTGTACAGACTATATAGAGTAAACAATGATATGGGCATCAAGAGCAAGTTGGCAAATAAAGTAGGCACAATTTCTTGATACTTTCCATCTCCCTAATTTACAAGCAAGACGGTCTTGAGAAATATATATACACTAACCTACTTATGCCCTTGCAAAAAACTGCATTTATACATCTTACAATACTTGAAGATCATGTATACATGCAATGTCAACTGATTTTCATATACAGACGGCCTCCTAATGTGCTTGATTACTAAGGAGTAAATTTCTATGCCTAAGTAATGTATGATTTATTTATTTATTATTATTTTTTTATATCATTGATGATAATATTCCTATTATTAATGACGAAGTCTATAAAGTAAAATATATCTTTGGATATTCAACTTTCCTGAAAATTACCCAAAACCTTGGTGATTTCATTACATAGGAGGATATCTCTAATAAATTATACATACATACAAAAACATTTATTGTGGAGAGTGCATGTATCGAGCATCAAAGTATATACATACATACATTCATAGTGGACAGTGAATGTATCGAGCATCAATGGGTAAATAAACAAAACAAGTCTTACCTCTGGGGCATTCTCTGGAGAGAAGAAACTCAGCAGGCTTTGAAAGCAGAACCAGGCAGTCTTGATATTCAACCTTAGCTCCCTTGCTGGAGTTGATGAAGTAAGGAGAGATATAACCACGATCGAACTTCATACCTTCAATGACCTGTTGAATGTTGGTTAATTAATGCTTCTAGATAACTAATATCTAACAGCAAATAATGTCGGTAAATTTTAAAAGATAACAAAATGCACAAGGAAAGGAAACCAGCCACTGAAACTCACCTCCAACTCATCCTTCAAGGTCTTGCCATCCTTGACCGTGATGACACCCTCACGGCCAACCTGTGAAATACGCACATTAACCAGTTATACTATATTCTACATTGATTTTACTTTAAATCATTTGAATTAGAGAAAAGAGAGGCAAGCTAAGGTAAGTTACCTTCTCCATGGCTGCGGAGATAAGACTGCCAACTTCAATGTCTCCATTAGCAGAGATGGTTGCAACCTGAGCAATCTCAGCAGGAGTCGTCACGGGCTTTGACAGAGTCTTCAGATGAGCAACAATGGCATCCACAGCCAACATAACTCCACGCCTAAATAAAACAAAAATGTAAAAAATGCAAAATCAGTCTCCTAGGATTATATTTCAATTCTTTGTTACCATCTTTTCAATAGGTGATCTCAAAATGATGCACGATACCATTAACCTTTTACTTGAAGTTGGCAAATCAATAAAATGATGCACTAATTCAAGGTTTCCACTCAAAACTAGGTTGGTAAAAAGCACTCTTACCTGATCTCCACAGGGTTAGCACCTTTGCTAATCCTGTCAAAACCTTCCTTTGCAATAGTGCGAGCCAGGACTGTGGCTGTGGTGGTACCATCACCAGCCTCCTCGTTGGTGTTGTTGGCAACATCTTGGACCAACTTGGCTCCAATGTTCTGGAACTTGTCCTTCAGTTCAACAGCCTTCGCAACTGTAACCCCATCCTTGGTGATCTTGGGACTGCCCCAGCTCTGCTCGATGATTACATTTCGACCCTGCCACAGGATAACAAATAATCTACCATTAGTAGCAGATTCAATTAACTAAATTCTCACTAGCTCAACCTGAATCAAATGGACATCTTTCCTTACATGGCAAGTTAAGCCTTCAATTCAATACATTCAACTGATTACAAATTCTGTTATTGTTAAGTGGAGAAATTACTGGTTTCATAACCATGAATGCTTCATGAGAGAGGGGAGTTGATAACAAAATATTTAATAAATACAATTTATGGGCATCTTGTCAGACAATACCTCTGGACACGCAGACACTCATACATGGATATACATTTATATATCAAAGATAAAACAATTCATACATTGAGGCAAGGACCATTAATAAATTATTATACAATGTGGAAGGAAGCCCATAGTATTACCATAGCATGAGCATCATTACAAATTAAAGAAAATTGCTAAGGACAGATTTTAAAAACAAGTCAGAACTTCTGCGACAATTTTGTAGTCAGACTGTTTCTTAGATAGTCCTTAAATTTGTCAAATCCCTTTTGTGAATACCATCCCAAATTAAAATTAAGTAAAGACTAAATAAAGACTAACATTTCCATATGAACCCAAAAACCTCCCAAACATAGGGGCTTTGCCCCTAGACCCTCACACAATTGCTGTATTTTCATACCCAATCCCCTAACTTGCTCTCCATGAAGCACTACTCATAACCTATTCTCTTAATTTCTGAAATTAATCTTTGCCTGCACAGACTTCAAACACCATTGAGTTAATTTTCCCTTTCTCTGTGATGGTAATTACATTTTCTGTAAATATTTACCGAAGTTGCATAATTTTCCTAAATTCAACTTGCAAATGAAATACCAGAGATGGAATGGATCTTTTTGTCACTATCAAATTACAGGTAAATTTTAACTTGTATCATATGGCTGTGGGAAACGACCTATACCCATACTCTACTGGTTGAGTCCATTTTGACTTTTCTCAAGATAACTAAACCTTTTATTCAATAGGCAATATAGTGCTTCATTATGCAAGCTATTCAAAATTCTGTTAACCACTAGCCGACGGGTGGCATGTACGTACATGCCATGGCTGTTGTGGACCGAAACACGAATGGCATCGTTATCATGCCCATTCCCGCGCCACTGGCTCATCAGACGGAGTTTATTTTTCTCCGATAGTAGCGGCTTCATTTATATAGTAAAGATTTTACGCAATGGCATCTATAATAAAAGGCAATGGCATCTATAATGAAGGCAAATCTTTAAAATTTTAAGATTTTTGATAAATTATAGCAAAATAAAGACTTATGCGCTAAAAGTCGCTTGCAAACTACTGATTGAGCCGCGTGCAAATTGGGGAAACTGCGGATATGCGCCAACAACCCCATTCCTAAGTCGACTTCCCAAACATTTTTACCCGTCAGCACTGGGTTAACGACATGATAGCTTTTTCATTCAACAGAGCAACTGATACATTAAACCACGGGTTCCCAACCTGGGGCCAATATCCCTGGGGGCACAGGATACTTTCTGGGGGCCATTAAGCAATGTCAAAATTCTGATATTGAATCAAACTGAATTTTGACTCATAGTACCTGCATTTAACCATCTCAAATCAATAAATTAGACTTCTTCATTAAGCATTCTTGTCCTAGAGCTACTGAAACCAATACACTTCAAAAAAGGCAATGTCTTATTCTTAAAAGATGACACACGGGGCCATGGAGATTACATACTGGTCGGAAGCTACAAAATGAAAGAGACGGGAACCCTTGCATTGACCTTTAAATTACTTGCCAGTAGAAAGGTACTCGAACTTCAATCACTGTGTTCGGACTGTCACTTTGAAAATTACGAGACCATATACCCTGTGATAATCATACAAATTCATGATATAATCAGCATGACACTAGACACATCCTGTCACAGAAAATCAAATATATATTAATAAAAGCAATAGTTGTACAGAAAATCAAATATATATTAGTAAAAGCAATAGTTGAATGCAACACCATTACATAAGCCTACCACCGCCCCTCCATTCGCGCTGCGGGAACTGACCTTGGGGCCCATGGTCACTGCCACGGCGTCGGTGAGCACGTCGACGCCCTGCAGCATCAGCGCCCTGACCTCGGTGCCAAACTTGACGTCCTTGGCATAGTGTCTCGCCAGGTAGTGCCTCGTGGCCTGGCGAGCGACGGGAGTTCGCAATAAGGAGGCTGCGCGATGCATTCTGGAAGAGGAAGAAGCAACAAAGGGTAGAGTTTGCCCTTTAAATATTCAGGGTGTTTCCGACTTCGATTGGGATCTCTAAAGGTCTTGCGTGAGTATTCAACAGGATAGCTCTCTACCCCACGCACAGCCGGCCTGAGGAGGGAGTGGGGGCATCCCCGCCCGGCAACAACACTCGGCCGAGGCCATGTGGGCTCCCCCTCAGCCGGCCATTGTGGTTTTAAATCGCAATTCTCGTTGAATGTACAGCTTTACAACTAACCACAACCTGTTATAACAACCCAGATACACATAATTTCCCTTCTTATGAACTAGCTCACCAAACTTACTTTGTGGGAAGGTTTCAGTGTGAGAGAGACACTCGACAGATCTCTCAGGCGGTCTCACGGCGTCTAGAATGAGCAGCAGACGACTCGCTCGAGCCTCCACAAGGTCCACTCGCGCTGAAGCTTCTCGACACACCCGCATCGAGCGTGATGACGGCGATGACGTAACTCTGCCTCGAAACCTTGTAATGCGGGGTTTTAGAGCAACCGTCGTCTTGTAAAGTGCAATATTAAAATATTTGCGAAGCCATATAATGATTATTTTTATGTTGTTAGGAAATAAGTGCAATGTTATGTCCGTTTCGTAATCGGAGTTATTCAACTGTCTTGGAATAAGCTCGGTTAAGGGCCCTGGATCATTCTAGAACTCAAGCAAATTCCCCATACATTCGAATGCACATGAAATTTACATAAAAGATAGCCAAAGAAGACCCAAGCCCTCTGAAAGTACACGTTGTCTGAATTAAAAAATAAAACAAATAAAAGAAACACCATTAAACATCCAGAACAGTCCGGAGACAACATAGAGGGGAGAGATGCGCATGCGCTTACGTGCAAATGCCATGTGCTCGGCTCTCCTCCGGCTGCAGACGACGCCGACGCACCAGACGCTTCTCTCACGGCTCCTCACTGTTCTCCTCGGCTGCCTTCTTGTGTAAAAATGGTACGCCCTTTTGCGCACGTGGATTGGTTTGTGTGATAGGCTACATGGGCCGTGTCGATTTGAAACGTTTGGGTGTTGGTGTGTTTAGATTTGAAGTGTAGTTTAGGTGGTAATAAACATTAACGTTTGGGTCGGCTTGATGTCCTTCCTCCCCGACCAGTTGATCAGCGGCAGTCGGGTTTTGTCCTTGAAATCCTTGGCCCTAATTAGCGACTGTTAGGCTGAATGTAGCATAGGGGCGTTTGGGCAGATTCCTCATTTTGTTCAGGATTTATTCAGTGATTGTGATTGGGTTTCCTTGTTACGTAAGTGTCGACCTTGAGGTGCACGGCTTTTAAATAACTTTAAATGGTAGTATTTTTGATAATAATGCACAGGTAAAAACTGCTAAACCATAAGGAGAATGTATTTCCATGCATGCCAATACATTCTTTGGTGAGGAGAAATATTAGTCTTTTTACTACATAACAATGCTTTGATTGTAAAGGTGTGTTATAAGTATCTACAGCAATTTATTATGGAAGTTGATGGGGTCCTTTCATCAGATGAAAATGTATTTGATATTCATAGTTGTTGTTAATTGAAAATGCATGAAATAAATTACCTCATAGGGTAATTACAGGGATTCTAGGTAATGACAGGGGTTGAGGGACTGAGCACCCCTTAAAATTTCAAAATGTTCCCATATTAATTATAGTTGAACAATTTCACCAACACTGAGTTTAGAAAGACCTTTTTCTCAAGTAATTATTCCCGTTTTGATAAAATTATATACCTATAAATCTTTCAAGACTTTCTAAAAGTAGTTCCTATCATCCTAAATGGTAAAATCAGTATATTTTTTGTAAATGTGTGCAAAAACCTAGAGTAAGAGCTGTAGCCAAGCCTAAAGTACCTTCATGTAAAACTGGTAAGGAACTTGAAAAGGTCTGTCAGTTCATTATGTAAGATACCAGTCCTAGTTATACCTTGCCAAACTGCGAGGGGGAGGTTTGTTTCTTTGTTTTTGTCAGGTGCAGAGACCACTGTGTTTCCCTGTCATTGTTACTTTCCTGTCATTGTCATTCTGCTAGGGCTCAGAATTTGGTTATCACAAATTGCTGCTAGGGCTCAGAATTTAGTTCATCCATTAAAGATCACTGAAGGTTTAACTGGATTTGGATGGAATGTAGCTAATATAACTTGAAGAAATTAGTTTCATTATGGAAGCTGTTGTCTTAGAAATCTACTCTTCTTTAATTTATAAAATATGAATATATCTTTTGACTGAAAATGTTGTAAGTCAAGTTAAATTTGAATTGTTTGAGTAGTAACAGCAAGACATCTTGGTTTGTCGCTATTGGGGGGTTTCTGCGCAATTAAAACTATATATTTGCATTGTGGACAGTGGTAGGAATCCAACGATTCCAAAATCATTGATGTAGGAGCAGCGGACTTATGATAGGAAATTACCCAGAATTGATTTACATTGCAGTTCAAAGTTGCTGGAGAAAATTGATTTTATCTAATCATCTGCTTATTCTGATCCCGATTATATCCTACCCCACAGGCTGGTGCTCTGAAGAGGTTTGTTCCCCTGTTCGACCGTGTGCTGGTCCAAAAGGCTGAGGCTCTGACCCGTACTGCAAAGGGAATCTTGATCCCAGAAAAGTCGGTAGCCAAGGTCCTCACAGGGAAGGTGGTTGCTGTTGGAGAGGGAGCCAGAACTGAAGTAAGTTTGACTTGTTATTGCTGTTGTAATGTCATTATCATTGCTGTTTTGACGACATTCTGTTCAGTCATTGTTCTTGATGAGATATCCATATTGAAAGTTTGGTTTGCTTGCTGATTTTCATAGTTAAGTATAAGGACTGATACAATAATTTATGCTTACACACACCCATGTTTGGATTAATAGTTAATATTGTGCTCCGTGAATTATGCTGCTAGTATTTATTTCAATAATGCTTCTTTTGTGTGAAAGATAATTGTCTGATTTGGTATTTAACATGCATTTATAATTTGCTTTATTGAATAATATCATTGTGGCAGTTTTGCAGTAGTTATTGGTTATTTAATGATTTTCTATTTTTTCCAGTTATTGCAACAACGTAACATTATTTGATAACATAGCTAGAGTATCTAGGAGTGTGTTTAATAAAACAGAGGTATACTATTAGTAATAGTAGGTATTCATAATAATCATAATCCTATTCATATTGATTTTTCTTCTGTCAGGCCGGCACCACAATCCCCCCATGTGTTACTGTTGGCGATGAAGTGATGCTTCCTGAGTTCGGTGGCACAAAGGTCACCCTTGAGGAGAAGGAATATTTCCTCTTCAGAGAGTCTGAACTTTTGGCCAAGATGAAGACCGAGTAAAAGCAGATCCTGTAGAAGCAGAATCATTGGGTCAATTCGTAGGCTGATGCTTCAGGAGGCCAAGGGAAAAAGAAATTCCAGCAGATCAGAGATTTGCCACGTGTGTTAGTCTGCGGCCTGTTTCAGTTCACAATGTGGAAGATGTATGGTTTGAGTCTAAAATGGACCAGTTTTCTAAGTATGTATGTAATCATCACATATAATTCATATCGTCATCCATCATTTAGGGCATGAATGTTTTGTCCATCTAACAAGTGTATATAGAAGTGTAAAGAATTGTTTTACAAAATATAGATTGTTTTCAAAGCTGTTGTATGAATTTATACACCTATATTACATCTGAAGATGATTGATAATTAATTGCAGATGATGCGATGGTGCTTGAAAGTTGAGATAAAGTGCTCAGTTCAGTAAATTACAAAAGCGCAAGACATTTGTGTAATAGTTTTTATTCAAAACATCTAAATATAAGCGTGTAATAAAGTTTATCAGTACTGTATTTAGCATGGTCATTTGCTGTTGTAAGTCAATTTTGCATAAGGAAACAACAAAAATTAAAGTCCTCTTTTTGCTGTCAGTTTTATTTTTTTTGCATAAGTAAGGAAACAAACTGAAGTCCTCTTTTTTCTGCCTTGAATTAGGCTTTCTTAGCGGCAAATAAAAATTCATCTTGTTTTTCGCTTATCAAAAATTATAATTTCCAACTGAAGTTGTAGAAACCGTATACCAATCATAGAAGAACTGGGTAACTTGAAGGATTAACTAAGTAAACATGTGAAATTTTATTGTTCATTCTTAAAAGTACATTACAATATTGAATAACCAGGCCATGCAAAGATAGTAAACCTAATGCTATACAATGCTATTTAGAAGAATATTTCAACCTTGTCAAAATTCAGTGGAAAAAAGTACAAGGTCTTGCAATGATCGCCAGATCTATATGCCATATCTTGAACAGTATTCATGTTGACAAATGTGGAAAGGTTTGAATAATAATGATTATCTTCACAATACAAGAGATGTATCTGCCTGGTTTCGAGTATATCTTCGTCAGAAATGTCTTTCTGACGAAGATATATTCGAAACCGGCCAAATACACCTCTTGTATTGTGAAGATAATCATTATCATTCATTCCTTTCCATACATGTCGTATCTTATAGGGGAATGCATATCAGGTGCCTAAACTTAGAAGGTCAGTACATGAATTGCAACTGCTGAGGTGTATCCTATTGTCAGAAATGTTGATTTCTTTAAAAACATTTACAAAGAATTTGGTTAGGGTACAGTTTATTACAATTTACGGACGATACTGGGTCAGTTTTAATAGTACAATAATTGAAATACCTCATTTGTGAATTAACTATTGATTATACTACTGGGAACCATTACAGGATTTGTGTAGGGTGTTTCCTAAGGGAACCAGTAAGAGTGAGGTTGGCCTGGGTTAGTGACTCTTTGGGTTGAGGCGCTTTGAGTACCACTCTTGTTCCGGTCACCTTCTGCTCGAGGCTCACTGACAGGTTTTTCCTTCCGAGGTCCACGTCCACCGTCCGGAGGTGTCTTTGCAGGGTATGAAGGGCATCACTGGAAATGAAAGAATAGGGGAACTGTAACTGGTTTGATGTTAACAATGTAACACTAATGGCAGTGGTTTTAACCTAAGTAAAACTGTTGTATGCTGTAGGTGCTCTTTGGCTGCAGATAACAAATTCACACAATATATAGTAATAACCGGTCATTACGCGAATGTAACAAAGCCAAGACTAAAAGTTAGCAATGAATGGTCGAAGGATGAATGGTCTATCCAGAGTCGCAAGCAACCTACAGTGCCTTGGCCAGTTTTTCCCTCAGGAGCGTCCGCGTCTGTGTCAGATGCTGGACCTCCGCCACCAGGCCGTCCTGAGGAGCGTCCCTCACCAAGTCATGCCGCACTCGAGCCGTCCTTCCCTCCAGCCTCGTCTGCGCCACCTTCAGAGGCAGCGAGGAGGCCCGAAGCTGCTCCTCCAAGGCCGAGATCTGAGAACAGAGTAAAGTTGAGTCTACAGTGCAGTGTTGCTTAACTGCTGGTGAGGGGAGAATATTGGACTTTGGTGCAAGTTGGCCGAGGATGGCGAGATGCAGCTTAGCCAGAAGGATAATTGTTAACCAAAGTTTCTCTCCTGAATTCCTCAATATCATATCCCGACTGCGACCTTAGAGAAAATATTAATGAATAACGTTTATATATTTACACATACATTTACATACAGGGAAACCGTTCTAGATTTTTCATTCAGTCATTAAGCCTTCATGGTTTGTATATGCAAGTACCAGAAAAAAATGTTTAAGCCCAGTTCTGATTGTCTATTTATGAAAGCGAAGTCAAACAGAGCGAGATAAAACTACAAAGGTATTAAAAAGCCCTTCACACTGAGGCTTCGCAGCACGAGCATTCCCCCCGCAGGAACGCTCCTACTCCACCTCCTCCTCCTGAGCCCGGATTTCCTCCAGGAGCCGATCCTTTTGCCACTGCAGCTCGTCCCTCGCTCGACTCTCCTGGTGAAGCCTGCGTCGAAGTGCATAATCCGAAGCCGTCTGTTGTGTCTCGTCGTTCCGCCGCGCCGTCTGGGGATCACCGACGGATAAGCTTCGACTTGGCCGAGATGTCACGGATGATTATGTGTTAGAATAAGCGTCGATTTTCTTTGATTTCTTTCTTTTTTTTTTTTTACTTTGAGCTTTTAAGCGTACTGAATTACACGCTATGACAGATTAGCCATGCCAGGTCTCGGTGGGTAGGCTTGTGGCATTTTCTCATGCATTTAACTTTTACTGGGATCTCAAGCATGGTGAATGTGTTGTAGACTTGTTTCCGCACAGTCGATGAATCAGTAAACATAGCTGGATAGCTTCTCTCTCTCTCTATCTCTCCCTTTCTTTCTCTCTTTACCTCCTTCATTCATTTCCCCCTCCTCTTCCATACTCTCTCTCTCCCTATCTATCTATACATCTATCTATCTCTCTTCTTTATCTCTCTCTCTTCTCTCTCTCTCTCTTCTTCTTCTCTCCTCTCCTTCCGCTCTCTTCTCTCTCTCTCTCTCTCTCTCTCTCCTCCTCCTCTCTCTCTCTCTCTCTCTCTCTCTCTCCTCTCTCTCTCTCTCTCTCTCTCTCTCTTCTCTCTCCCTCTCCTCTCATTCCTCTCCTCTCTTTCTCTCCTTCGTCTCTTTCATACTCTCTCTCTCCCTTTCTATTATTTTCTCTCTCTCTCTCTCTCTCTCTCTCTCTCTCTCTCTCTCTCTCTCTCTTCTCTCTCTCTCTCTCTCTCTCTCTCTCTTTCCTCTCTCTCGTTTTTCTCTCTCTCTCTTCGCTTTTCTCCCTCTCTGACTTTCTCTCTCTCTTCCTCTCTCTGTGCTTCTCTCTCTCTCTCTCTCTCTCCAGTCGGTCTCTCGTCGCTCTCTCTCCTCTCTCCTCTCTCTCTCTCTCTTGTTGTCTGTGTGTGTGTGTGTGTTGGTGTGTGCGTGTGTATAGGGCCCCGCGTGCGAATAGAGAGAGAAGAGAGAGAGAGAGAGAGAGAGAGAGAGAGAGAGAGAGAGAGAAGAGAGAGAAGAGAGAGAGAGAGAGAGAAGAGAGAGAGAGAGAGACACAGACAAGACAGGAGGACAGAACACAGAGAAAGGATTGAGACAGACAGACGTGATGAGAGTCTTGTTAGAAAAGATAGAGAAGTGAGTGTCTGGTGTGTCTCATATTAACTATGACTTATTCTCATTATTAATTATAAATCAATATTATTACTATAGCATATGTAAAACGACTACACGACTATCAGTGCTGTAATATTAATAAAGTTGTGATGGTAGGGGGATGAAGTGGTGATGATGATGATGAGATGAAATAATGATAATGAAACTTGTGATGACTGGTGGTGATGATGGCGGCGGTGGTGATGACAACAATAACAATAACATTGATAACGATAAGAATAATCCTTATGATCATCATTATTTTCATAAATGCTGTAATAATGATAATAAGGATAGAATATAATAAGTATAACTGGAATGATGATAATGATTATCATTTATAACGTTTATCGCCGTTATAGTTATTACTGAAATCTTGAAAATCATCTTTATCAACATCATCACGGATTATTATGTCACTATATTACTTACATCATCATATTACTACAAATATTATCATGTTATCATTGTTATCAATGTATCATTATCATTAATATTAACATTAACATTAATATTAAAAATCCGTTTTCATTAACACTATTGTCGTCAAATCAGTTAAGAAGCATCGGTTACAATTTATTATTTATTAATGTAATTTAGATTTTTATAAATATACATTTTCATTTACAGTTCACTATAACCATATAGTGACCACCTTATAAAGTACAATTCTTGTCATAGGTCAATATCATGTGTGTGTGTGTGTGTGTGTGTGTGTGTGTGTGTGTTGTGTGTTTGTGGTGTTGTGTGTGTTGTGTGTGTGTATGTGTGTGTGTGTGTGTGTGTGTGTGTGTGTGTGTGTGTGTGTGTGTGTGTGTGTGTGTGTGTGTTGGTGTTGTGTGTATTAATATATATATATTTTTTCTCTCTTATTCTTTTTTTACCAACCCATATAGTGACCCCTTACTTGTATGGTGACACACATGCGAGTGTGCGTGTTTATTTATGTGTTTGTGTGTGTGTGTGTGCGTGTGTGTGTGTGTGTGTGTGTGTGTGGTGTGTGTGTTGTGTGTGTGTGTTGTGTGCGTGTGTGTGTTGTGTGTGTGTGTGTGTGTGTGGTGTGTGTGGTGTGTGTGTGTGTGTGTGTGTGTTGTGTGTGTGTGTGTGGTGTGTGTGTGTGTGCGTGCGTACATGTGGTATGTGTTTGTGTGTGTATATATACAAATTTTTTCTAACCTTTTTTCCAACCCATATAGTGACCCCTTACTTGTACTGGTGACACACATATACGATCCCTGCAAGCTCTGTGATTCCTTGATGGCATTCTCGGGCGGCGGCCATGTTTTTTAGCGGGTGTTCGAGCCAGTCCGCAGGGCAGAATGGTTTCCTTGGAAAAATTATATGAAAAAAAACATCAAAGATTTAATAAGAAATAAGAAAACAGTAAGAAAACATTGAAGACAGGTCATTCAGTGTGAAAGAAGAGGAATGGGATATATATAAAAAAGCCAAAAAAGGAGGTATTTCAGGACAATGAAAAGAAAATGTGTTGGATGGGATTATGGCTAGGTAAAACAGGAAGAAAAATAAACGGATTTCACTGAGAGAAAACTGAAAGATAATGAATATTGGATAAAAGATTACTTGAAAGGGAAAGGCTAAATCAGTAGCAATCGATGGAAGTGTCACGAGCCGTTCTGATTCTATTTTTTTGTGGAAATAAGCACATGGGGTTTGTTTTGATGACGTCACAAAAGTTACGGATGCTCTGTGAATATGATCGATTCATTTTGGTCTCTTTGGATGGAAAAAAAATGATTTTTAATGATTATATTTTCATCGAACAATCGTCAAAACAGACGCCATGACACCTCCTCGGGTTGCTACAGATCTAGCCTTTCAATTATCGAAAAGCTACTTGATTACTTCATCGTTCGGAAAAGATGATTTTAATTGGTTTATAATTTCATTCGAACAATTCATCCAACAGACGGGCCATGACACCTCCTCGGGTGCTGACGGATCTAGCCTTTCCCATTATCAAAAGGATCACTATAAACCGTTGAATCTCTAGACCTGGCGCGGGATTCGAAGCGGGTCGGGTTTGAAGGAGATCTCAGGTGAGTTGTTCACGTCACGCCTCCTGCTCTCCCTGTCTCACACCGCCAGTGCTTGCCGCTCTGGCGGGTGTGGGTGTAAGTTGCTAGGTTATTCCTCTTCCAGTTCGGTTGTTTTTTTTTTCTGTCTGGCCGTTAGTTCCTTACCATTTCTCTGTTTATATATGTTTCTTTATATTTTTCTTTGCCTTGCTTCTGGCCTCTCTCTCTCTGTCTCGTTGTATCTCTCTCTCTCTCTACTGTCGTCTCTCTCCTCTTCTCTCTCTCTCTCTCTCTCTCTCTCTCTCTCTCTCTCTCCTCTCTCTCTCTCTCTCTCTCTCTCTCTCTAATCTCTCTATCTCCTCTCTCTCTCTCTCCTCTCTCCTCTCCCCTTCTCTCTCTGTATGTTCTGTGTAGGTCTCTCTCTCTCTCTCTCTCTCTCTCTCTCTCTCTCTCTCTCTCTCTCTCTCTCTCTCTCTCTCTCTCTCTCTCTCTCTCTCTCTTCTCTCTCTCTCTCTCTCTCTCTCTCTCCTCTCTCTCTCTCTCTCCCTCTCCTCCTCTCCTGTTGTTTTCTTCATTCTTTCAATTATTTTATGCAATATAGATTGTTTAAGTATCACTGGTTTTAATTTATTCAGCATCAATACACGTAATAATTATATTTTTATCTTGAACTAATTTATTCAATCATTCAAATATTCCCCTTCCATCTAGTCAAGGGCCACCCACCTTTCCTTGAGGTCGTCTGAAGGTTTCTGTTTGGCTTCATGGAGTTACCCTCAAGCTGCGACACCGCATCGAGGACGACCAGGTCGGCTTCTCGATTTCTCAAGCGTCCGCACCTCCTTGTGAAGCTCCCAGCTGTGGGTTTAAGGGAAGGATGTGAGGTTGTTTCTTTGTTTGTGTCAGCTGTGGAAGTAATTTTGGGGAGACTTTGCTATGTTGGTGTTGCGTAATCTTTACGGACAGACACTTGGTTTGCGGGATGTGGTGGTTGATGGACGAGAATGTGAGAGCGGATTCAGAGAGACGAGGAGAGAGAGAGAGAGAGGAGAGAGGGGGAGAGGAGAGAGAGATCAAGAGAGAGAGAGAGAGAGAGAGAAGAGAGACGAGAGAGAGAGAGAGAGAGAAGGAGAGAGAAGAGAGGAGGGAGAGAGGAGGAGAAAGAGATGAGATATAGAGAGAGAGATAGATAGAGAGAGAGAGAGAGAGAGAGAGGAAAGCGAGAGAGCGAAAGCGAAGGAGCGAACGAGAAAGAGAGAGAGAGAACGGGATAATTTAATAGAAGAAAGATAGGGTGAAGGGGGAGATATTAAAGAATAAAAAGACGTGTAATTAAGAGAGGCGTTTAAGATAACGACGGCGGAATAAAGAATAAATAAAATAAATGAAAAAATAAAAAAAGGAATATTCCAAAAAAATACCCTTTGAGATATTAGGAAATCGTAATGGATGAGACCATTACACGTTTGCCAAAATAACGCAGATGTTTCTTGTGGGGGGGGGGGTAATCTCAGCTCCACATGAGACGCCCTCGTGAGGCTGTGAAATGGGTTTATATTAAAAAAAGAGAAAAATCTGCTCCTTCCTCTAAAACATGGTAACTACAAGGGCAACAGAGTGGAACAGCTGCACCTGCGTAAGCAAGTGCAGGTGTGCATATGTTTGTTTACTGTACGCTAGTTTATGCGCGTGTGAAAACTATTAATGAGTAGGTGGATGTGTACACTGTATAATTTTTGTGCAAATATGTATGTGTATTTACATTCCATTAAAATATTTTCCTTGTAGTGTATACGTATGTAGAATCATATAAAACATATGTATTATATATATAATATATATATATATATATATATATATATATATATATATATATTGTGTGGTGTGTGTGTGTGTGTCGTGTGTGTGGTGTGTGTGTGTGTGTGTTGTGTGTGTGTGTGTGTGTTGTATTGAGTGTGTGTGTTAACCCTAGTACGAGAGTGAGAGTTCATATGCCCAGATATTTACCATATGTATCTTTTAAAACAAAGGCTTGAATGGGAAATACGAGTCATACAAAGCGTGCACTCGTATCCTCACCTCAATGTCATCCTTGACGAGGTCCCCCTCCCTCGCGCCGCTCTGGAGGGTGAGGCACTCCATGGCCCGTGTTGGGGGCGACACCCTGGCCTCCAGCTCGGCCTCCGTTGTCTCCTTGGCGGCCTCCAACTTCGCGATCTCGGCCAGGGTCTTGGTGAGGGAGTGGAGGGGGGGGGGGGAGTGAGAGGAGAGGAATGGGTAGGTGGAAAGTGAAAGGGGAATACAGTGGGTCCGGACGTTGTGGCGTGAGAGGGAGTGAGAAGAGAGGGAATGGAGGTTGGAAGACGAAGGGGAATTGGAGTGGGTAGACGGGGGGGGGAGTGAGAGGAGAGGGAATGGTAGTGGGGAATGGAGTGGGTAGAGAAGGGGAGTGAGAGCAAGAGAGGGAATGGGTAGGTGAAGACGAAAAAGAGTGGGTAGACGAAGTGCGCGGTGAAGAAGGGAGTGAGAAGAGAGCGAATGGGTAGGTGGACGACGAAAGGGGAATTGGAGCGGAGAGAAGTAGCGGAAGTGCGGGAGGGAGGGGTGAGAAGAGGGAATGGGTAGGTGGACGACGAAAGGGAAGTGGAGTGGTGCGCGGTGAAGTGGGGTGAGGAGGGAGAAGAGAGAAGAGAGGGAATGGGTAGGTGGAAGAAGAAAGGGGAATTGGAGTGGGTAGAGGAAGTGCGGGTGAGGAGGGGAGTGAGAAGAGAGGGAATGGGTAGGTGGACGACGAAAGGGGAATTGGAGTGGGTAGACGAAGTGCGGTGAGAGGAGGAGTGAGAAGAGAGGGAATGGGTATGGTGGACGACGAAAAGGGAATTGGAGTGGTAGAGGAAGTGCCGGGGATGGGAGGGGACGAGAAGAGAGGAAATAGATAGGTGGAAGACGGGAGGGGAATTGGAGTGGGTAGTGGAGGGAAAGTGCGGGTGAGGAGGGGAGAGTGAGAAGAGAGGAATGGTAGGTGGACGACGAAAGGGGAATTGGAGTGGGTAGAGGAAGTGCGGGTGAGGAGGGGAGTGAGAAGAGAGGGAATGGGTAGGTGGAAGACGAAAGGGGAATGGGAGTGGACGGACGAAGGGGTAGAAGTATGGGGGGATGAGAAGGAGGGACAGGGGTAGGGGGTATTAAGTCGAAGGGAAGTAGTAAGGAAGGAAATGGGAATAAAGAAAGGAAACAAAACAGACAAATAAAAAGTGAAAATCGTCTCACAATAAAAAACAATGGTAGATATCCAGCTTTAAAAAATAGGAACTTAAATCATCATAACCTTTTCCTAGGAACAAATTACAGTCTCGATACCAGCTTAAAAAAAATAGGCTCTCGATTTATCATAACCTTTCCTAGCAACACAAATACAATCTCGAACATCAATAGAGTTCGGTTATTACCCCCAAGGACACCTACCTGTCTCAGCGAACGATCCAAGTCGTCCGTGACCCTCTGGACTTCATAGATCCGGTCTTGAAGGCGTATGGTGTTGTCCGCATTATCCCACCACGTCTTATTGGTCGTCTATTTAAAAAAAAACGATAGATACATTATGGTGAGGAGTCACATTCAGACACACTAGTCCAAAAATCATAAATATATAGCAAGCTATAGGTGTTAAACAGAAGAAAGAAAGAACAGACACACACGTCCAAAAATCATAAATATACAGAAAGCTATAGGTGTTAAAAGAGGAAAGAAAGAACAGACACACACGTCATAAATAAACAGACATAAAGCTATAGGTGTTAAAAGAAGAAAGAAAAAAAAAAGAAAGAACAGACACACACTCAGACACCACACGTCATAAATAAATATACAGTAAGCTATAGGTGTTAAAAGAAGAAAGAAAGAAAGAAAAACAGACACACACGTCACCATAAATAAACAGACATAAAGCTATAGGTGTTAAAAGAAGAAAGAAAAAAAAAAGAAAGAAGAGACACACGTCACCATAAATAAACAGACATAAAGCTATAGGTGTTAAAAGAAGAAACAAATAAATAAGAAGAAAACATGCTATAAAGGTGGTAAAAACAAGAAATAAATAAAAAGAAAACATGTACACACGTTAAAATACAATCAAATGGCCTCCTGTACGAACCTGGTTACGAAAGTGTGTGCTCTCATTTCGCAGATTATGGGAGGTCGTTCGCGTGTCGTGGCTGGCTTGGCGAAGGGCGGCGTTGTTGCGGTGCCAATCCTCGGGCAAGTGCCGTGCCACGGGCTTCTCCACCTTCATTCTGGCTGCTGCGTGGCACTTGGGAAATGCCTTTTTTTTTTTTACTTCTCTTTTATGCCTTCTTTCTTCAGCCTATCACTTCTCGTTTGTCTTCCTTCTTCCTTCTTTCTTCTATCATTCTTGTTTCTTCTCGTTTGTCTTCCTTCTTCCTTCTTTCTTCAGCCTATCATTCTTCAGGTGTTCTCTTCTCGTTTGTCTTCCTTCTTCCTTCTTTCTTCAGCCTATCAGTGTTCTTGTTCTTCTCGTTTGTCTTCCTTCTTCCTTCTTTCTTCAGCCTATCAGTGTTCTTGTTTCTTCTCGTTTGTCTTCCTTCTTCCTTCTTTCTTCAGCCTATCAGTGTTCTTGTTTCTTCTCGTTTGTCTTCCTTCTTCCTTCTTTCTTCAGCCTATCAGTGTTCTTGTTTCTTCTCGTTTGTCTTCCTTCTTCCTTCTTTCTTCAGCCTATCAGTGTTCTTGTTTTCTTCTCGTGTCTTCCTTCTTCCTTCTTTCTTCAGCCTATCAGTGTTCTTGTTTCTTCTCGTTTGTCTTCCTTCTTCCTTCTTTCTTCAGCCTATCAGTGTCTTGTTTCTTCTCGTTTGTCTTCCTTCTTCCTTCTTTCTTCAGCCTATCAGTGTTCTTGTTTCTTCTCGTTTGTCTTCCTTCTTCCTTCTTTCTTCAGCCTATCAGTGTTCTTGTTTCTTCTCGTTTGTCTTCCTTCTTCCTTCTTTCTTCACTTTGCTGTTTCTTCTGTCTGTTTTCTCACTAGTTGTTTTCCTTAATTCTTTATTTTTTATCGATATTTTGAATCGTTCTCGTTTTCCTCATTCCACTTGAAACAAATCACGCTACACGTTACAAAACACGTAAAAGATTTGCCGAACACGTGCCAAGAAAACCCGCCCATAAACTGCGAGCTATTGTTTATAATCATTTAGAATAAATTTATGTAATCATTTAGGTTTTCCACAACAAAAGTCTCTATTATTAATGCAGTGGCGTATCTAAGGGGGGACTACAGTTTAATCTAAAATGTTATTTTTTCGTGTATGTAAAAAGACACGTTTTTTATTTCAAATTAGTAGATAAGTGTTTTTATTTTGACTTTTTCATCAAACCGAAATGATACTAAAGGCTCTTCAAGACACTTATAACCTTCCGACCCTAAATATCTATCTAGGTTAACTGCCGTCGTGTAAAATGTCTTATTTCTGCATTGTAAAAAAGATAAAAAGCTATCATCAGTCTCAGAAAATGACAAGAGACAATAAGAAAGAACCAAATAAATACCTAACAATAATATCTAACAGATGATATCGAATGCCATGAAAAAGATTATTCTATCTAAACTAGCTTGTCCTTTCTCATTTTTTTGTTCTTTACTTCGTACCGAATAGAAAGTCAATTTAAAAGAAGGCAATATCGTGATACGTTGCTTCTTATTGCATATTGATTAGTGAGGGCTATTTATAATTATTCGTTTGGGTAAATGACACTAAATCATATAACAGATATCAGATACGTACCTGAGTTGGTCGTGCTGGTTCGGAGGGAGCGTCCCTAGCAACGGCCTTAGCAACCGCTTCCTTTGATTGTTTTCGAGTTCTTATTTGATGTCAGTTATTTTCTGTGGTTAAATTACAATAATAAAGTCATCATGGAGAAGCCTTCGATATTTAAGGTGTGATTTTTATAAAGATTGAATTCATATCCTTAGAATTAAACTAAACCCGAAATAGAACCGAGTATTTTTTAACAATAAAATACCGAAATTGCTCTACATGTCTTATACATAACACACACACAAAACATAAGGAAACAAAATGTCTAAATCCTTAAAAAAACGGACAATGCAACTAATTAAAGCCAAGACGAGAAAATCGAACGCTCTGGCCAGCGCCGCCCCGACAGTCGCTCGTTGCCAGGGAAGGGCGGAGTAAAATCATCACTCCGCCGGCTTTCAAAACGCTAATCTTAAGGTCATAAAAAACATGGTCCGAAATGGTTGCTTAAGTGGGGCATGTGAGGGAGGTCGAGCGATGGGTGTTTCTATAAATTTCATGATACTATCGATCAAATGGGTATTGTTGCTGGGATACTAGTAGTAGTTGTAATAGTAGTAGTAGTAGTAGTAGTAGTAGTAGTAGTAGTAGTAGTAGTAGTAGTAATGGTAATGATAAAAATGATAATGATGATGATGACTGGTGTGGTATTTGAACAGAAATATATACTGAATCGTTGGTTAACATCAGAAACTCTGCATAGATTTAATGAGCATAGCGTACTGTGAGTCTGATCAAGCGTCATGATCAAAATACTTTGATTTACGATAGATATGAAATTACCCCAACAGATGTTTGGAAAGAAAATAAAAAAGAGAGAAATAAATCTGATGACGTCACATTTCCTTGCGAAAACGACTACGCGAACATCATCGGATCCAACAAATCAGCTGGCAGCACGTCTCATAAGTGACATGGGATTGGATCTTAATCGTAGTGTCGAACAAAATGCCTATATATAGGATCGAAAACTATTTTTAAATAAATACGATTGCGCTCTGTTTTTTGTTTATATTGACAAGAGTTCCACGTCTATCGTAAAGGTTGGTAAAGGGCAAGGAGTGAACACAGAGGAGTCGTACTGGAAGGAAAGGTGAAAAACTAACAGAAAAAGATAATGGCTGAAACGCCGCAGTCCTTCCTCCAAACTGCAAAGTTCTTTATCTACGCTTCGGGAATATTCTTCCTTTATTTCTATTACGGGATTCTACAGGAAACCATGTAAGTCTGCCATATTGTTTAGCGGCTTCGTTAAATTCGGATCATTGGACTTGATTTTCTGATTTTGTTTATGATGATTTCGCATTGTAACAGGACGTACTAAATGTTTTTGGTGCGATAAAGCTAGAAAGTTGGCCATTTACAGTAGACGTGATTTAGTTTAATCTTACCGGTCAAAGTAATAATCGTCATAAAAATCCAATAGTGCTGTCCACTCATATTTGCCATAGTTTGACAATTATTAATATCTTCTTTTAGCGATACAGAGATAGAGGGAAATGAACACCGCCATCTTAGAGAGCCACCCAATTTTGAAATTATTATTTCATGTTTCAGTTCTACACATTGTAATATTACTTAAACCACTTGTTATTTTCTAATGTAAAAATATAAATGAAAGGATGGGTAATCTCTATGGTATGGATGCACTAACTTGGGGCAAATTGAATATGATATTCTTATAGTGGGTAAAAAGTTGCAGTAGTTGGTACAAGAAATAGTACATGTAAAATTTCTGCCAGCCTTCGTTTAGACGAAAAATAACATATGCAAATGATAGAGCAAGTGATTCAAAGAAACTTATCTTCTATGGACATAAAATGAAATACCAGAAAAATGCAAAACATGATGATGTCACTATTAACCTATAAATATAAAAGATTATATATATATATATATATATATATATATATATATATATATATATATATATATATATATATATATAACAATGTAAAAAACATTAAAAAGTATAATTTCCTGAAAGACAAGCCAAACTTTGTTTCCAGAAAATAATAGAAAGGCTGTTTACTCAGAAAGACAAGCCAAACTTTGTCTGACAGACATCAAATGAAACAAGTGCAAAACACAATGTGCGCGAACTCGATATCCGAAACACAGACCAAAGTTTCAAATAGTATAACAAAATCAGTGCTTATCATGTGAACCCAAATATCAAAACTTAATATATCCAATGTATTCCCCTCACCCTCTTATGAGTATGCTGTCAAATAAAATAAAAAGATAAATAAATACAGTATTTGTGACACATACTGGCATTGTGGAGGGTACAGACGAGCTGTGACGAGGAGGAACTGATGAAATCTTTTATTCTCCGCTGGGTATGCCATGAGGAAAATGACCCTGGCCAAATGCCTGGTGAAGTGGTAACTCCTCCTGCTGAAGCGGGGCACTTTGGCTTTGGCCTCCCTCCATTTGTGCTTGATTGTATTAGTGTGTGCCTTAGTGTCAGCATCAAAAAAATTGTATGAATGGTTCACAGTTAAATGTTGATAGCCCTCTTTTTCAAGACAGTTGTATGCCTTCCACCAATCACTAATGACCGTTCTCCCTGGGTGGATATGCTCTTTTATGACGTTATGCAAAAAGAGAATGTCATGTGTCTCCACTGGTATGAGGAAAAAATCACAACTTTTGTGGCATACTCCCCCAAAAACCCACTGAACTTCAATTACTCTACCAACATTATATTTTCTCTTACCAAATTTAGATTCATCAGTCTCGATATTCTATTATTAATTTTTTGAGTTTTGTCGCAATGGAACGAATATGCCCAGTCACAGCAACTTAGATTGATGATATATATATATATATATATATATATATATATATATATATATATATATATATATATATATATATTATATATATGAATGATATTATATTATTATTATTATTGTTGAAGTTATGATTATTGTAATATCATTGACAATCCTAATAGCAATAAAAATAAAAAAGAATCATTCCAAAATATAGGAAAAGGATGAACAGGTGAGATAGGTAGCTAACGTGTGACTAAGCTCTTGGGGATCCATCAGAGTGTAAACAAAATCAATGAATTAAAATCACAGTGAACATGGTATTATGTATTATTATATATAGGTTTTATTGTCAAGTATGTTTCTTCCTACTTGTACAAGATTTGGTAGAGGTTTGATTACTTCTGATTTTACATATATTATGACTGCAATCCATTTTCTACCTTTGTCATTTTTTAAAGAATGAGGATGTGTTACCTATAATTTTTTTTATTACTCTCTTGCTACATTTTTATATTTTAGAAAAAAAAATTACTCCTAGTGAAATTTCTTTAAATGCTGATTATATGCTCATGAACAAATTACAAGCTGAGCAGAGCTGCATATTTATATGATAATTTTAAATGTTGGTGTCCTTTATGTCGTATTATATCTATTATATATAATGTCCTGATAACTTCTTTAATTGCATGTTTCTTCTCGGAAAGTGATCTAAATTGAGACCTCTTTGTAACTGTATATTCATTGGATTTTTATTGGCCTTTTTGATAGTTTAGAATTTGATCTGACAACAGTGGCAATATTTGTTTACTGCCTGGGCCATTAAACCAGTCTCTTGATATTGTAGATACTGTGGAATGCCCAGATATTTTGTATATTTTTTTGTATATATGTATGAGAAAAGATCATTATAAAGGATTTTTATTACATGTATGGAAACAGACTAATATACAGTAAAGACCAGCAAATTTGATTTTAAACCCCAAATTACTTTTTCTTTTCAGAACACGCACTCGATATGGGGAGGAGAAGGAAAAATTCACCTATTCTCTTGCACTCGTATTTTGCCAGTGTATCGTCAATGCTATATATGCCAAGATAAGTAAGTGTGTGAGATGTAGCTGTTAAGTTTTGCTAATAGTCCAGCAGTGAAACGTTTGCCTTGTGTTTCCTTAATGGTTTATTTCCCTTCCCTTTTGGTGTGTATAAGCGTGGCATTCATTTACTAATATTGATGCAAATGTTTGTGAGTTTCGGATTTATAATACTTAATGATTTTTTTTCCACTTCACCTTCATTAAATTATATTCTGAACTAAATTGGTTTTGATAGCAGTATTAATGCTCTAAATATCTCTTGTATTGTGAAGATATTCATTCTTTAATGCAGTAGAAAATCTGATTTGCTCTTTAACTATTTGCCGCCCGGGATGGCATGTGTGGACATGCCAAGCCCATGGTGTGTTTGATTTAGTAATTGTTTTTACATATAGATGAGCCAATTACGAGAATTACCTGTCTCACCTGTTTACCCTTTTCCTTGATTTTTGATGATATTTTCTAGTATTTAATACTGCTGTTGGTAGTGTCAATAATAATATAGTAATTATAATTTTTTATAACAAAAGTAACAGTGTCAATATTGATAGCATTAAGAAAAAAGGGTTTTCCCTCTATTTCAAGTAAAGGTGAGGTCACAAAATATACTAATTGACATCCTTTCTGGATAAGCACTAGCAGAGCCAACTATGTACAGAAACATTTAACAAAACACAACTAAAGTGAACACGACATTTTCCCTTTTGCGTTGGGTTGATAAGTAGATTTGTGGTATTAGGGACTTCTCTCAGAGTGTGTGCTTCCAATCTCACTGCCATGGTATTTGAACTATAGAGTTGCAAAACCTCCATCATTGCAAGGATTAGTTTGATTTATATTTTAGGAAGTGCATTATTGATTGTTTGGATGTATAATGTTTCTTGAAAAAAATACAGATCATATTTGATTATAATTTAGAGGTTACTGTAGTTTTGGTTAGTCTAATGTATTATTATTATTTTATTACTGTCATATGTATTCTTCACATGTCAGATTGGGTTTTACGGTGAAAAGAATCTTTTGGTTTGATGAATTTTTAAAATAGTTTTTCAATTTGAAGCTGTCATATTTTGATACTATCACATTCCATCCCTTCAACATTGAAGATTCTAACCTAGGTTTATCCCTTTGCTTAAGAGACCCTGCAGCTTATCAGATTTTTTCCTTCAAAGATTCCCTTTCACACTTAAAATCTCCATGAAAAAATTATAATAATAATAAAAAAGGGAAGAGGTTTCTTATTGAGTGGAAATGTCTTTGATACCAGACAACACAAAAGTACCCCAACCAAATGAAGTTAAGTCCCCAGCCCGATATATTGAAGGAGTGAGAAGCCTCAGCCCCTTAGAGTGGAGAGAGTTGGATGAGAGTCCCACCAAAATTAACCCATGATTTTCCCTGTTCCTTCCTTTGTGTTGTAAAGTGGGGAAGTTTTTCCTCGACCAGGGCGAGGACACCACTCGCCGTGTCTACTATGCTTCCTGTTCCCTCACCTACCTGCTGGCCATGGTTGCCTCCAATATGGCGCTGCAGTGGATTAACTATCCAACACAGGTTAGTTTTTTTTCTTTCTTTTTTGTGTGCCATTAGGTATGAATTGATAATAAGATTGGAAGTATATAAATCTGGATATAAGTCAACTTATTACTGCAGTTTGTTAGTATCTTATTATTCATTGTTTATATTATTTTTTATTTCTCATGCACTTGCCAGTATGTTCATGGTACAGGTTTTTCTGATGTTTATAACAGAGATTACTTTGCCACAACAGACTCTCTTTATTAGTGTAAATACCAGTGTATTTATGTTCTTATTACTTACTTTTATGCTCTTTTCCTACTTGTTCTTAGCAACTGTTGATGTACATTCCATCACTCATGATATTTGGTTCCATCAGATTGATGTCAAAACTTACTGTTTACAGAGTACTGTGACCTTCCTTGGTTGTCCCTTGTAGTCAGGTCCTGTAATTTTTTTCTTAGATTATACCCTAATGCATTTTGCCGTGTGCACTTGTGTTAGTTATGCTAATTACTGTAGATGTTATGAAGGTGCACTTTGTTTTTTATTAACAGAAAAAGTACATGTATATGTACGGTGTTTACACTAATATAATTGTATTAATTTTATTTACACATTAGATACCTCCACAACTGCTTAGACTCTCAAGAAGTCAGTTACTATGCCTGCTTAATCTCACCCGTTCATATCATTCCTTGAATCTTCAGAAAGAATAATAACGATAACAGTAATAACAATGCTAATGATCATAAAAGTATTAGATGTTTTCTCAAGTTAAAGAAATATAGGCCTAATAATTAACTCATTGATGTCTGAGTGTTTGTGAAGCAACCCATATGAAAATAAATTGACAAACCAAAACTACTAAGAACAGTGCATGTACTCCACACCACTGTGTTAAAGTGAACTAACTGAAAGGAAACTATTACCTGTTTCTAATGATAAGCTTGCCCGCATGTAATTATATATATATATATATATATATATATATATATATATATATATATATATATATATATATATATATATATATATATATATATATATATATATATTATATACGTATATGTTTCTTGCTCCCCCTCCCTCCCCTTCCCTTTCCCCTTCCCCTTCCCCTTCCCCTTTCCCCTTCCCCTTCCTTCCCCTTCCCCTTCCCTTCCCTTCCTCCCTTCCTCCCCTCCTCCCCCTCCCCCTCCCCCATGTCTCTCTCTCTCTCATTCCTTTCTTTTTTCTTTTTCTCTTTCTCTTTCTCTTTCTCTTTCTTCCCTTCTCATCTCTCTGGTCAGTTTGCCATTATGTCTGCCTTAGTGTGTGTCAGTCAGTAACTGTTTATCTATCAGTTATCTGTCTTAGTATTATCCGGAGTTCACATTGATTAATGCAAAATTCTTTCCATAGGTTGTAGGCAAATCATGTAAGCCCATTCCTGTGATGGTTCTTGGCGTTATATTAGGCCGTAAATCCTATAGTTGGAAGAAATATGTTTTCATCTTAATGATCGTTGTAGGTAAGTATTGGTTTTATACTGTACTGAGTACATTATTTATTACAGAATTTTTTTTTCTTAGGAATGACTGGGAAGAAAATGCTTGTTTTATAAGAGATATAAAATACTTCTCTATTGCCACTTTTTTAATAAAAAATTTAAAGGTCATCTGTGAACATCTCTGCAGTATTCAATTTATTGATAAACATCATTTATTGAAGGTAATAGAAACATGTTCAGATTTTTAAAAGAGGTAACTTTTTTCTCAGGTGTGGCACTATTTATATACAAGGACTCAAAGGCAACTGCATCAACAGCAGGTGGTGGAATAGGCCTTGGTGAAGTGCTCTTGGTGAGTATGACATTGCAATTTTTCACTTTATTGGGGATCATAAAATAATCTTTTACTTATCCATAGCTCTAACTTTGGTGAGGTATGTAGGCATAATAGACCAAAGTTATATTTGATAAGTCCTATGCTGCCAAAGATGTACTTTGTAAAGATGTTACTGATGCCAGAGTTTGTAAATTTTGTTTCTTTTGATTGAAACATTAATATTTATTCCTTGTAAAAAGATGCATTAACAGGATGAAAATATGAGTAGATATTTTCAAATGCTAATATATAAAATCTTGTGGCAGTTAGTGTGAGGCAGATCTGTAGGTGCTGTTGATTTTCATGACAGAATACTTGTAGTGTTTGTTTTGTTAGCTCCTAGTTTAGTGTACGGAGTACAGTAACACTGTGAGCTGGATTTGGACTTACTTTTCTTGTTTCTGTAATTATTTGCACATTCTTTATTATTATATAAACATATTAAGTGAATAAAATTATTTGTTGATTATATTTTTTACCAAAAGGACAGAATCTGTTTAATTTTGATAAGGTTACAAGGATTGTCATAACAATTTTGTTGAAATTTAATTAGAAATTATGTTATGAGGCTGAAGTGTTAGATATTATCATCAATAAGAAA